TATGGAGGTATAAAGGTATACAACTTTTCTAGACACTACTTGATAACACGTGTTAGGAGCTCTACAAAAGTGTTTAGATATTTTCATCCAGAAATCCTACTTCAAGGAAAAATATCCGAAATATAAAGATGCACACACTTCAATAAAAAATGACAACCTCCTTTAAAAATAGGCAAATGATCCGAGTATTCATTTCTTCAAAGATGGTAGAAAAATGGCCAACAAGCACCTGAAAAGATGCTCCACATCATGGAAGTCGAAACCTCGGTGAGATGTCACCTCACATCCATGAGGATGGCTATGATCAAAAAGACCAATAGCCCTGGCCGGTTTGGCTCAGCGCCTAGAGCAGCGGCCCGTGGACCAATGAGTCTCAGGTTCGATTCCGGTCAAGGGCACCTACTTTGGTTGCAGTTTGTCCCCGGCCCTGGTTGGGGTCATGGGAGAGGCAACCAGTCGATGTGTTTCTCTCACGTGGATGTTTCTCTCCCACCCTTCTACCCCCACCTCTATCTGAAGATAAATACAAAAATATCCCCAGGTGAGAATAAAAAATTTAAAAAAAGACCGATAAAAACAAGTGTTGGTGAGAGTGTGCAGAAACGGGAGCCCTCGTACACGCTGTGGGTAATGTAACAATGGTACAGCCACTTTGTAAACCAGCTTGGCAGTTCCTCAGAAGAGTAGACATAGAGTGACCATACAACCAAGCAATGCCACTCCTAGGCATATACCCAAGAGAAGTGAAAACATATATGCACACAAACTTGTACACGAATGTTCATAGCAGCATTATTTGTGATAGCCAAAGAATGGACACAACCTAAATGTCCACCAACAAATGGCCTGATAAACGTGGCCTATCCATGCAATAAAATATTATTCAGCCTGAAAACATTATGCTAAGTGAAAGAAGCCAATGACAAAAATCCACATATTATACGATTCCAGTTATCTTAAATGTCCAGCATAGGCAAACGCATAGAGACATAAAGCTCGGGGCGGGGAATGTAGAATGGGGAGTAACTGCCAATGAGGATGAGGTTCCTGTGGGAGGTGATGAAATGTTCTAAAATTGGTTGTGGCAACATTTGTACAACTCCGTAAATATAATAAAAATAATTGAAGTGTACACTTGAAGTGAGTAAATTGTATAGTACATGAATTACTAAAACCGTTATAAAAATACTCAAGCCCTGCCGGTGTGGCTCAGTTAGCTGAGCATCGTCCTGTGCACTGAAAGACCACTGGTTCGATTCCCGGTCAGGGTGCATACAATTGGCAAGCAATTGATGTTTCTCTCTCACATCGATGTGTGTGTGTCTCTCTCTCTTTCTCCCACTCCTTCCTCTCTCTAAAACCAATCAATCAATCAATATCTATATATATATTTAAAAACACTCAAAACAAAAATAAAATTATGCACATGCAAGGATGTAGATTGTTATATGTTGTTATTTATAAGATTTTAAAAATCAAGAAATATCTAAATGCAAAGCAAAAAGGATGGTAAAATAGATTACGTTCAGTCATTTGAATAAAGTAACCATTGTAATCATCTTTTGAATACTTATTAACACAAGGATATTTCATGCTGTAGTATTAAGGAAAAACACAAAATATGAAATCTGCACTTACACACACACTCACACACAGAAAATTTATAAAAGAAAATTTGCAATCAGGGAAGAATGGTTAATATAAGGTGGTGGATAAATGATTATTTTTATTTTCTTCTCTTCCTTCTATAGTTATCATATTTCTTACTTCATATACGTTTATAATCAATATTATTATTTTTTTAAGATTGAGAAAGAAAGTTTATTTTCAAAACCTACTTGAAATGTATAGATTATAAGAGTTGAATAGAAAAGTATAGACCATGTAGTCAAACTTTTTCATTTTACGAATAAAGTAACAAAAATCCAAAAAGGCTAAGTGCCCTGGCCCATGGTCAGCCATCTGGTCCAAGTATGTGAAACTCAAACAATTCCATTCCTCTCTCACTTCCTTTTCTTTCTTTCTTGATGACCCACCTACGCACACTCAAAAGTAACTTAAAAAAAAAAAAAAATTGAGGGATGGACCTTGAGGACATTATGCAAGGAAGGAAGGAAGGAAGGAAGGAAGGAAGGAAGGAAGGAAGGAAGGAAGGAAGGAAGGAAGGAAGGAAGGAAAGAAAGAAAGAAAGAAAGAAAGAAAGAAAGAAAGAAAGAAAGAAAGAAAGAAAGAAACCATATGATCTCACCTATATGTGGACTCTAAAAACAACAATGCAGAGAACAGATTGGTTGCTACCAGAGGGGGGCAGTGTTGAGAGAAATGGGTGATTGTAGTCAAAAGGTACAAACATCCAGTATAAAAGAAATAAGTCCTGGGGATATGTACGGCAATGGTAAGTGTAGTTAATAATACTTTATTGTATATTTGAAAGTTGCCAAGAGTAGATCTTAAAAGTTTTCATCACAAGAACAAAAAATTGTAACCATGTGTGGTGATGGATGTTATCTAGACTTGTGATTATCTTGCAAGATATACTTACATTGAATCTTTATGTTATACACCTGAAACTAATATAACATCATATGTCAATTATATCTCAATTTTTTTTTTAAGAACTAGATTTTTTTTGAGGGATTTCTTTCCCCAAATTGTATTCTGTATTCTAAATATCCTGCAAGATTAGAAAGAATCAACAATTTCTCTCCCAGACCATTAGAGGGCACTAGCAAGTCAAGCCAGGCTGAGCACTAAGCACAGTGGATAAACTACAGTGAGAATAACCATCTTTTTTTGGCATCAGAAGCAAACAAAGATGATTAAAATCATGCTGACCCTTGGATGACTGTCTTCAGTTTTTATCTGGCCAGTGTTGGCTAAAGGAGTCTTTGTGAAATGGGGCATTCTGGTTCCCATCCCATAAGAACAAGAAATGAATGACATATCGGGAAACAACCCCAGTAACAGCTCCCAACTGTCTTCAGAGCAGCAGCCCATAATCACCTTATTTCCCTGCTCCAAGTGTTGTCAGAGGGATCCTCTGGCCTTTGGCATGCTGGGGGGCAGCACGGATGGAAGGCTGGAAGAACACAGAGTGAATGCTTCTATCAAAATGACTAGCTGCCGATGCTGTTCCTTGGGGTCCTCCCCCCAAACAAAAGGAGAGAATCAAGCAAGAAACAAGACCCTGACACTCCTCAGTGGAAACAAAAGCTCAGTGAAATTTGGCAAGCCTCCCTGTTCTGAAATGATTCCCAGACGATCGTAAATTGGGAAAGCGGTCAGTGTTGAGTGGAGACACGTGGGCCTGGATGCAAAGCCCAATTCCTCACCTCTCTTCATGTCATGTGAAAGTAAAAAATACAGAGTTGGGGGAAATAGGGTTCACCCATTTCCATTAAGTCCAGTTAAAGAGCCTTATCCCAGACAGGTAAGGCTCTACTGTAGTGTTTAGTCTACGTATGCTGGATAATGACCCATGTTCAAATCCCAGCTCTGCCTCTCACTGGTCAAGTGAACCCATGCAAGTTACTCAGTTTTTCTGTGCCTCGGTTTCCTCATCTGTAAATGCAGGTAATATGAATAACAGTTCCCACTTCCTAAGTTGTTATGAGGATTTACATAGTCTCTGACACATTATTAGTGCTCAAAAAATGTTAGCTATCATCTAGTGCTAGTGGTGATGGGTATAAAAATCTTAAAATACAGAGCTTTTCTACCCTTGTTTCATAAGCCAACCCAACATCTTGGGGCCTTTATTCTAAGGAAATTCTCTCTTAATTTAAAGATCCCCAAAAAGCTTGTAGACAATGAATCACTCAAATCAACCCAGGATTGATACATTGCTAAAACTCCTATATCACAAAAAACTAAAAATTATTTCTAAAATCTGCCCCAGGCTGTATACGCAAAGTATATATTTTTTCTCACTTAAGCTGCTAATTATGGAAGTTCTTCCCCAAACGCAAATTTACCAGGGTTTGATGTGAAGGGTTAGAAACACAATGTCTACACTTTTTTTTTCTTTATTGATTTTAGAAAGACAGGAAGGGAGAAGGAGAGAGAGGCAGGAACATCGATGTGAGAGAGAACATCGATTGGTTGCCTCCTGCATGACCCCCACTGGGGATCAGGCCCACAACCTGGGCATGTGCCCTGACCAGGAATCAAACCAGTGACCTCTTGGTGCATGAGTCGACACTCAACCACTGAGCCACACCGTCCAGGCAATGTTTACACTTTTTTTTTTTTTTTTATCCTCACCCAAGGACATTTTTTTGTATGTATCTTCAGATAGAGCGGGAGGGAAGAGAGAGAAAGAAACATTGACATGAGAGAGACACATCGACTGGTCGCCACCCACACAACCCTAAATGGAGCCAGGGACAAATTGCAACCGAGACACGTGCCCTTAGCGGGAACCGAATCCAGGACTCTCTGGTCCACAGACGGACGCTCTGACTGCTGAGCCAAACCAGCCAGGGTGCAATGTCTACACTTTTATAAGTTGCTCCATCAATAGTTGAAATGCCAATTCCCCATAATTAATATATGCTAGGACAAACACTTATAGTAAGATTAATTAGTGTGGCTCAATGTATTTTCCAAAGATGGTTACAATCTTTCCTATTACACAGAAGGCAAAGGAGGACCAGAGTGTTCTTGCTGTTTCACGTCATTTTATTTCAAAATAATAAATGTGCCAAAGTGACATGTTTTGGGGAACCCTGTCCTGAGTCCCATCACTGGTCTCACAAAAATAAGCTAAACTAGGTTTTGCTGGCATGAGTAAACGGAATTTTCTAGGCTGGTCTCCATTTGTCCTGGATTTTAACATGAGCAAAATGGCACAAAAGTTGTATTCTGTGACATGAGTTGCATCTGTGACATGCCCTCCAGCTGCACGGGCTGGTGGGTGATGGGCTGTTCCTTGGGCCTCTGCGGCCAGTGCAGAACTCGGTGCAGCCAACAGTGCTGGCTGGCCCGCCCGCCCGCCCGGACTACCCGATGCTGGCGTTCCGCTTGAGGTAGTTGGTGTAATGAGTCAGGAGCAGCTTCTTGAACGCGCTGCTGTAGAAAGCCCACGAGGGGACCAGGCCCAGCAAGCTCGCCTTGGAGAAACAAAAACACGAGTGTTCGGGTGAAAAGAAGAACAAGGAAGTTACAACTAAAACATCTCAGTTTCTATTGATCATTTTTGAAAGAGATTTTTCTGCCTATTGAAGTTATGTTGCAAAATCTTTTAGTACAGTCATGTGTCACTTAACAAGGAGGATTCATTCTAAGAAATCATTAGATGATTTCCTCAAAGTGCAAACATCCTAGAGTGCACTTACACAAACCTGGAAGGCACGCCTATGACACACCCAGGCTACGCCTATGACACACCCAGGCTACGCCTAGGACACACCCAGGCTACGCCTAGGACACACCCAGGAGCCTGCAAACCTGTACAGCAGTTCCTGCACCGAATCCTGCAGGGTGGAATAACACAATGGTAAGTGCTTGTGCATCTAATCATAGAAAAAGTACATTTAAAAATTTTAAATATGGCCCTGGCCGGTTTGGCTCAGAGCTTGGAGCGTCGGCCTACGGACCAGAGTCCAGGGTTCGGTTCCTGCTAGAGGCACGTACCAAAAAAAAAAAAAATTTAAATATGGTTACAATATGGTATAAAAGATTAAAAAACGGTACACCAGTATAGGGCATTTACCATGAGTGGAGCTCGAAAGACGAGAGTTGCTCTGGGTAAGTCAGTGAGCGATGAGTGGATTAGAAGGCCTAGGGCAATACTGGGCATGACTATGACTTTATAAACACTATACTTAAGCCACACTAGATTCATTTTTAAATTTTTCACTCTTTTTTTTTTTTTTTAAATCCTCACCTGAGGATATTTTTTAATTTTTTGTTCAGATAGAGTAGGAGGGAGGGAGAGGGGGAGAGAGAGAGAGAGAGAGAAACATCGACATGAAAGGGACACATCAAGTGCCTGCCACCTGCACGACCCAACCAGGGTCAGGGACAAACTGCAACTGAAGTACGTGCCCTTAGCGGGAACCAACCCCGGGTCTCTCCGGACTGCAGGCCGACGCTCTAACCGCTGAGCCAATCCGGCCAGGGCAATTTTTCATTCTTTAGTCATGAATTAATCTTAGCTCACTGTAACAGTTTTACTTTATAAACATTTCAATTGCAATTATTTTGTAACAACATAGCTTAAAACACAAGCATATTTTATAACTGTACCAAAATAGTTTCTTTCTTTATATCCTTATTCTATAAGCTTTTTTCTATTTTAAAATTTAATTTAAAATTTTTTTTAACTTTTTAGATTTTTTTTTGTTAAAAACTCTGATACAAACACGCACATTAGCCTAGGCCTACACAGGGCCAGGGTCTCAACACCACTGCCTGCCACCTGCACACCTCGTCCCATGGAAGGTCTTCAGGGGCAGTGACACATGCTGTTGTCATCTCCTGTGAGAGCAACGCCTTCCTCGGGAACACCCCCTGGAGGACCTGCCCGGGGCTTTCTGAGGAGGTGCTACTTTTTTTGGAAATATGTCGATGTTGGCCTGTTGCATTTGTTTTTTGTTTTGTTTTTCATCATAGATTTGCTTATAAGCAGATAATGCAACATGAACATTCCTCTCTAAAAATGAAAACCTTTTGGTGTTTTTTTAAATTAATGAAAAGCTATCTAAGGAGCTGGTCGAGGTCTGCAAAACGTCTGCTAGACCCTTCCCTGTGAATTTTCTGGGAGGTTCTTTTCCTTCTCCTGCAGTTTCCTTTCCTCTTGCCTCTTCTGGGGTCGCCCCAGTCCAACAACTCCTCGTCCATCAGTTCCCCAGGCGCTCCGGCGAGCTCCTCGTTGCCATCCCGACCACGGCCTTGTTGGGGTTGCAACGTCTTCATTCTTGCCAAATCCTTTGAAGTCATGGACAAAACTCTTGAATGTCTTCTTCCAGGTGCCATTCATACACTCCTTGGTGACATCACTCCAAGCCCAAGCAAGGTTTTGGATGCAGTCATAGGTGTAATTTTTCCAAAACTGCGTCAGGGTCTTTGTTAAGCAACAGCCTGGGCAAAGGCCCTCCTCGGGTAGCAAGCTTTAGAAGCTGCCATCGCTCTTTGATCCAATGGTTGAATCAAAGAGGGTGTTTGGGGGGAGAAACACCACTTTGATGTTGGGATGAAGATCACGCCAGCACTCGCAGACTCACACTCACGTCCACCTTAGGTTGAATTGCTTTAAAAGAACCCAGAGCTGGCAATAAACCAGTGTCAGAGCCAGTGCGGCCTTCTCTGTCAGCATCACAGACTTCCTGCTTGGGCCGTGAGCATCGTGGTTCTGAGAGGCAGAGGCTCCTGTGTCTGGTCTTCCATCCAGATCATTGGAAGTTTCTCCATGTCTGATACAGGCCCTTCTCAAAGTGTTGTCTTGTTGCCGTCAATAAATCAGGTCCTCTGGCCCCTGCCGGTTTGCCTCAGTGGTTAGAGCATCGGCCCGTGGACCAGAGAGTCCTGGGTTCAGTTCCCGCTAAGGGCACGTACCTTGGTTGCTGTTTGTCCCCGGCCAGGGTTGGGGTCGTGTGGGTGGCAACTAGTCGATGTGTCTCTCGCATTGATGTTTCTCTCTCTCTTCCTCCCTCTCTCCCTCCCGCTCTATCTGAAGATAAATGCAAAAAATGTCCTCGGGTGAGGATTAAAAAAAAAATCCGGTCCTCTGGCAGCTCCCATCACTTTGCTTTTGTTCTTGACCGTAGCTGTGGCAGAATGAGACATGTCTGAGTGGCAAGCAATGGCCATCACTGACTCTCCACCGTCATAGTCCTTCATCACTGCCCATTTCATTTCCAGGTCAGACAACGCGGTCTCTTACTGGCAACATCAACAGTGGGCTTTGTATGCTTAGGGGCCACAGTGAGCAAAACAACACAAGGGCCAATCGAGCACAAGAGAAAATGATGCACTCAAGAGACACGCTGTAGGAGGCTGCTGCCATGGCAACATGGCCTACTGTTTTACTGCTGTTCATAAGTAGAAAGAGTACACATTTAAAAATGATAAAAAGCAGAATACTGAAAGTACATAAACCAGTAACACAGTCGTTTATTATCGTATCAAGTAATAATACACACGATGACGGGAGGAGCCATGCTCCTGCATGCCTGGCAGCCTAGTGGCTTGGTCAGCACTGACGTCACCAGACATGTGAGTGATGCCTTGCTGCAACACAGGGCTATGCGTCACTTGCGACAGTTTTAATCTTTTTTTCTTTTCAATTTTTTTCTTCCTTTATTGATTTTAGGGAGAGAGACAGAAACACTGATGAGGGAGAACATGGATTGGCCGCCTCCTGCATGCCCCGCACTGGGGATGGGGCCAAAATCTGGGCATGTGCCCTGACCGAGAATCGAACTGGCGACCTCTTGGTGCATGGGTCGACTCTCAGCCAGTGAGCCACACCAGCCGGACTAGGTAGTGTTAATCTTTGTCCGTTGTCATCTCTGGGGCCACCGTCAGGGATGCGGTCTATTGGCAGAAGCGCAGTCACATGGTGCATGGCTGTAATTGCTAAAATTGAAAGGGCCTGTGACACTTTAGAAACCAAGTCACCCACAGCATCAGTCCTGAGGAAACTAAACTAAGGGAACGGTGTCCATGGTAAAGCATCACCCCCTTCTATCGCTCAGGGAGCACTTTCTCTTCTTGGTGTGTCCCCCCTCCCCCCATCTTCATGTGTTTTCCACCAAGCTTCTGTGAAGATGAGATTGTCGGGCCCTGGCTGGTTTTGCTCAGCGGTTAGAGCATCACTTCCAGACCAGAGAGACCCCATTCGGTTCCGCTAAGGGCAGGTACCTCCGTTGCAGTTTGTCCCCGGCCCAATTGGGGTTGTGTGGGTGGCAGCCAGTTGATGTGTCTCTGTCATATTGATGTTTCTCTCTCTCTCATCCTCCCTCTCTTTCTCCCCCTCTATCTGAAGATAAATGCAAAAATGTCCTGAGTGAGCATTTAAAAAAAAAAAAATGAGACTGGCAGGGAAAATCCGGTCTGTCTAGAATTCCTTGGAGATGCTGGAAACAGAGCTGCAGTATTGTTTTCACGATTAGCATGCAGTAGTCACATCTACTTGGTTTCCTGTTTGCATTTGTTTCTAAAAGCAGCCAGAACAGTGAGAACTCCTGGGCCGGGGAAGCTTATTTCCACGCGGAGGGAGTCCGCGCGCGGCCTGCGGAACCGGCTTGCCCGGCACACTCCTCATCGCCGCACACTGGAGCTTAAAATCGGCCTGGGGGCAGGATTTAAGTAATGGAAATCAGCGAATGCTACAAATCAGGTGTTTTGTTTTACTTTTTCCTGGGGAGCCAGGGGTTAAATATTTGCTAACACAGAGGGTCCGAGATGAGAGCAGCCGCAAGAGAAGCTCCCGGGGCTTGGCCGGCTCCCCCAGGACCTCTGGGGGCCGCCTCAGGGGCGAGGTTCCCAGCGTGGGGGCCCTCATGGGCGGAGCCCAGGCCTCCCCAGCGAGGAAGGGCCCTCAGCCCCGGGAGGGCCGCCCGCACACCTGTCCTCACTGCTTCGAGAAGGAAGTTAGCAGTTACCATGATTGCATGGCCGAGGCAGCCACAGGTTGCGTCTCCCAGCGTGATGTAATTCAGTGATTCTCGAACAAAGTCGTCGGCAGTCTTGGTTATGGGGCTGGTGTTGAGGTGCTTGGTCATTGGGGTGGAGACAGCGTATGGGGTCAGCACCTACAGTGGGGAATAAAGCTGTAATACAGGAGCCATCCGCCCACCCGGAGACACGAACCCCCATTTCACCAGCCCTTCATTTTCCAACTCTGTCCTTCCCGCAGAAAGCTCCAGGATCCGAGGCGATGAGGGAGCCGAAAACGCAGCCCAGAGCTGGGCACAGAGCTGGGCACCAGGCTCCCAGGTTCCCTTGGGCAGGAGCGCAAGCCGAGCCTGAGCCGCACAGCCCGGGCGGCGGTGCGCGGGGGGCTGAGCACGCGCCCACTCACAACGTGGGTGCCAGGCTTGCAAAATAAAAGTGCAGGACACTCAGATTGAATCCAGAAAAACCACAATAATTCCATATCAATATGCCCCAAGTATTCCATGGGATATACTTACATTTACATTTTTGTTTGTTATTTAGCTGATACCCCAATGTAATTGGTTGTCGTGTATTTTATCTGGCAACCCTATCTCGGAAGTTTATTTCTAAGGTATACAGCCAAGGTTGGAGCAGTTCCAAGCGCTCTGGGTTCCCACTCTCACACTTTAGTTGGGAGCCAGGAGTGGAACCTACCTCATCAACTTTCCTGTTGTGGTAAGAAAAATAAACAACCACACATGGTACCCTCCAAATCCACCACCAAGTTTCCGCCCAGGGTCTCACCACCTTGCAGCCTCGTGTAAGGTTTCACCGTGGGGTTTCTTACTTCACTCCCCGACACAGAGCACTTGGCATCGTTAGAGGACAGAAGAGATCCGTGCTTGTTTTCTTGGTTTTATTTTTCTTCATGTCACATTTGAAATAGCACTGTTCTGACTTTGGAAATATGGTTGGTGGGACATTTCTCAAAAAGAAAAGAAAAATTTAAGCCCTGGCCGGTTTGGCTCAGCGGTTGGAGCGTCCACCTGCAGTCTGGAGAGACCTGGGTTCGGTTCCCGCTAAGGGCGTGTACCTCGGGTGCAGTTTGTCCCCGGCCCTGGTTGGTCGTGCGGGTGGCAGCCACTCGATGTGTCCCTTTCACGTCGATGTTTCTCTCTCTCTCTTCCTCTCTCTCCCTCCCACTCTATCTGTACAAAAAATGGAAAAATGTCCTCGGGTGAGGATAAAAAAAAAAAATGAAATAGCACTGTTCATAACTGAACCTAATTATGACACAGACGATCCCGTGGAATGGGTCCTGGTGGAAATGAGTGCTGGCCTTAATTTGCATAACATTTGCTCCCAAAGATCTCAAAGTGGTACTCTTGGAGAGACAGAGGAGCATGTATTCCCAACCTGTTTCCCGATGGGGAAATAATAAGTATTTTCATTCCTACCAGGAGATTTGGTTCTACACTCACTGAAGAACCCAGGGGCTTAGTAAACAGTGCTGAAATTGCCCGTGTCTGCTCATTAGACTTGGGATAACCTAGAGACGTGAGCGGGGATTGTAAACCCTGGTTTGCAGATGGGGAAACTGAGGCTCGTGGAGTTTCAGCGGGCTTTCCAGGATCACTCTCAGATGGAAAGTGGCAGAGCTGGGCTTTGAAAATCAAATTCAAGTCTATAGTACATGCTTCCTTGTCCATTTGAGAAATATTTACTGAGCACCAATTCCGTACGTGTTTGGAGAAGCCGGTTGGATTTTAAAAGGTCGGAGAGTTTTCTCACCTTCTCGTGCTGCTGGGAGAGCAGGTCTGAGGTGCCTGCATCCTGGGAGGGGCACATTTCCCTACCCCACCTCCCCCACCCCTGCTGCCCCACGGAACCCACAAATTTGCCAGCCACAGCGTCTCTCACCACACAGTTCTCAAGATCAAGATGATGCGACAGCTGTCGCATGGCTAGTAAGCAAATAGCTCTGGTAATCATTCGTGTTGTTTACCCAATGTTTCTAGTTCTTTTTTCCTCCAGACACATAATAGAATTGCACTTTCTGGACCCCTGTGGTTGGGTGGGACCATGTGACCAGATCTGGCCAATGAGTCTGAGCAAAGGTGACATATGTCTTTTCTAAGCCAAAGCCCTTAACTATCAAAGCAAGATCCTCTAGAACTGGCACTTTGACCCGGCCGGTCCGCCGCTCCATCGCTGGGCCCCTGTGTCGCTGCCCTGAGCTAGTCCCCTCTGGCAGCTCACAGCAAGTGTGCATCCTGAGGGGGAATAAATCCCTGTGGTTTTAAGTCAGTGAGGTTTTAAGGGTTACTTTTTGCAGCAGCAAACAGCCTAGATGGGGTAGCACTTTTGCAAAATGAATCCGTCTTCAGCTGGGAGTTGGAAGATGGATAGGAAGGGGAAATATCTGGAGACTTCAGTTCAGCAGGGCAGAGACAGCTCTGTGGTCTAGTGACACGGCCTGGCTGTTACAGTCACTCACTGTGGCTGGGAAGTCGAAGTTGTTTGCCAAGTTCTCACCATTAACTCCCATCTGCCTTTTGAATAAGCTTTATCCGATAGCTGGTTAATTTATAAGAACACTCACCCGAGAGAGTCTCATTGAATATCAGTGTACACACCGACAATCTTACAGATATCACTGTGAGTGATCCTTTTTCATTTCCTCCCAAACAACCAAAAAACCTCTGTACATGCACCTTTTATTCCAGGTTCTCGAAACCACTTAACTCTGTGTGCCGAGCCAACCTCATGGATATCACTGACGCCTCAAGACGTCATATTGGTCAGCCTACAGACAGTAGTGTCTGTCTACGGTTAAGACGCGGTCACCCTTAGACAGGTCCACGCGGTTGGTGAAGGGGAAGCAGAGCGCCTCTCCCCCGATTGCTCAGAGCCAGAGTGTGAGGATCTCTGTGCCCATCACAGATGAACAGCCCGCAAGGGAAGCACCCCCACCCCTCCCAAATGGACCGAGTGCCCAGGGTCCTCTTGTTCCCTCGCCACCATTCCTCCCGCATAAGCCTGTCTCCTGTACTTACATCAGAGAGTCAAGGATGGTCGACAAGATCTCAATTTCTGTCGTGAGGCAGCATCAGGTGGCAAGAGGGTGGACAGCGTTTCTGAGCAGTCACCCTGCCCTGTCTCCTGCTTCAGCACCCAGGGCATGGGTGAGGGCCCAGCGGCCCCCAGCGGGCGCAGCTTCCTCCTGGCTGCATTTGCATCACCAGTCCCGCAGGGGGCAGTGGCCCCAGCTCAGCAGGGATCTGGAGATCCTGTTCCCAGGGACTCAGAACTGTCGCCCTCACCTGGATAATGATTCCTTTGGCTTTATATTCCGCTTGCAGTGCCTTGGAAAACGTGCACATGAAAGCCTGGAGCCGGAAGGAGAAACACCTCAGGACCCAGAGCTGGCTTTCTCCACCAGAACCAGCTCACTCAGACTTCAAAGGGCCCCGCAAGGAGCCTGCCACTTTATCTTAAAATGTAGCTGCTCGTCTCGGGGGTCGGGCCTTCATTTCTTGGTCTGAGAAGAGCTCCCTCAATCGATAGGAACATACATTTTGGAATAAATACATACTTCGGGCTACTGCACATAAATAACCCAACTTAGGGGGAGTTGTCCCTTGTGCAGAGCACCCCCTCCTCCCAGAGTTTGTTTTTAAAGCAGGGGCATGAGGACACCTGGCTCGGCAGGGAGAGAGCAGGGCTCCCAGGCCAGGAGGTGAGTGAGGGCCGGAGGCCCAGGGGCAGCGCCGCCCCGCTGGGCCCCCGCAGGCCTTTGTCAGCCCAGGGGCGGCGCCTTTTTCTAATTTGCACCCGAACACCTGCTGCCTCGCTCTGCCCTGTACATAGAAGAGTGCGTCCCGGCAGGTCCGTCCACCAGCTATCACTCACCTTGGAAGCTGAATACATGGAGTATAGAGGCCAGGGAAACAGGGCCACCCCAGAAGAAATGTTCAAGATGAGCCCTTTCCGCCTACAAGGCAAAGAAGCCAAGTTTCAGATGCTTTGCTGCCTGATTGCATCCTGAGAAAGAAGCAAGCGAAGGGACTCCTGTGAACACTGGGGAAACCCATCCTCTGGAGGGGTCCACGCACACTAGGGCTCTACTTCCCCAGCCTGAGAGTCGGGCTTCCCTTCACAGACACCGGCACCACACGGTGATGTCGGTGGACATCAGGGCCTGTGACCGGAAGCGGCTCTGCTGTGACCAAGGTCCCCCCACTGAAGTGCAGGAAGCCTGCTGAGCTCAGACAAGATCGGGGAAGAGATCCTTCTCTATTGTGGCCACAGGAGCGCAAGGTCCCTTCTGACCCATAAAGATGACCTACAGGACAGGTGCCCTGTGTCTTCTGTGGAATTCGACCGTCATCATCTGCTCACACAGGCCCCCACAGAAGGCTCTGGAGTCCTTAATTATCCTTTTGAAGTTTAATCTCTTTAATCCGCCCCAGTGAGATGGGTTCAATTCAGAAAAACCGAGCAACTGCACAGCAGAATACAAGGCAAGCCGCTGCTTCCTCTAGGGAAGATGAGACTATCAGCCATTTGCTTTTAATAAATACCTCCTGGAAAAAAAAAAAAAAACCTAGCTCCCAAGTGAGTGTTGTAATAGGGTGATAAAAACATGGAATAAATGGAGGCACGTATGGGGTGGTGGTTTTTACCACTAAATTGAAGTATTCATTCTGACAAGAGCTGAAATTCATAATAACAAAGAGATGGCCTTGGTCTCAGGCCAACTTCCGAAGTTTCTATCCTGCTCCACGTAAGTTAATTTTGTTAATACACCGTGTGCTGAATCTGCGGTTCTCTTCCTCCCTCCAGCGTGTGCTCCATCTGACCTTCAAATCTGCTTCCCTGCTGGCGGCGCTGGCCGGGCCAGAGCGTTACTGTTTCCCGTCACGTCCACTCCTCTCACAGTTGTGTGGTTTGTTAAAGCAGCAGCCGAAGCAACCCCATGTCCCGGAGTCAGCGGACTGCCCGGCCAGGGAGCCCTGCTGCTCCGCGCTTGTCGGAAGAAAGGCCTCACCTGGACTCCATGTGCCTCAGAAGGAGCTGGGTCATCTGTAAGAGAAGCCAGCGTTAAGCCTTGACAGAGGGACCAAGCAGCAGCAGGTGCTGCCCCTTGGGGAAGTGGGAGGGAGCTGCAGAATGGCTAATCTTCTCAGATGGCCTTAAACATCTGCTGGAGGTCATTCTGGCAACACTAGAGCCTGGCTGGAACCCACCGGAGGCAACGTGGACACATGGCAAATGGCCAGGCCTCTGGTTTCCCCTCCATAAACCTGAAGTCTTCCTGCGAAATGAGGCAGTGAGAAATCGGGAAATTGCTCTGGCGCTGGGGTCACCCCGGAGGTTCCCTGGACACGGGCAGAAGCAGGCTGGTCATCACAGGCCTCGGCCAGGACTGTCAGGAGACCACACACATGTCCACCAGCATCTCAGGTACAAGGCATGGGATGGAGAAGGACATCCGTCAGTTCAACAGCAGCCACGTGACAACCTGCAGGCGGTCTGTGAAATAGCTCCCTAGGTAGAGTGTGTCTGTCTGTCAGAATTGTAACAGAACTGAGACATTTCTTCCCCTCCCAACTTTCTGCCCCCAAAGAGTTCTTCTCTACAAATTCTGGAGCTTAAGCAACCCATTAAAAGAGCTTTTCACATCATAATTGTAAGGCACAGGTTTTAAGAATTAAGGAGGAGGCAACCATATGGACTAAAATGTCCTCAAAAGTACATTTGCATGTACTCGGGTCCTGTCTTGGGATCAGGTCTGAGACAGAAAGGAACCAAATGGATGGGGTTAGGCAGAGAAATAAAAAAGACTGGAGGCCCTGGCCGGTTTGGCTCAGCAGTTAGAGCATCGGCCTGTGGGCCAAAGAGTCTGAGGTTCAATTCCAGTCAAGGGCATGTACCTTAGTTGCAGTTCGATCCCCGGCCCTGGTCAGGGTTGTGCAGGAGGCAACCAATCAATGTGTCTCACATTGATGTTTCTCTCTTTCTCTCTCCCTCCCTCCTTCCCTCCTACTCTATCTGAAAATCAATGAAAAATATCCTCGGGTAAGGAAGATGATAGATAGATAGATGATAGATGATAGATGATAGATAGATAGATAGATGATAGATAGATAGACAGACAATCCTGGGGACCAGAAGATTGGTTCTGCCTGTTGCCCGTGTGTCTGGGAGCCCTTCAGGCCCTTCCCAGCGGGCTGTGTCCTGCCAGGCCCTGCAGCCCATCTGGGGGAGCCTCCCAGCCACGTTTCACTGCTCTGGGTCTGCAGCAGGGCTGGGAGGGGTGCGGGGTGCTCCCTGGAACCCACGGGGCTGCCTCCTGAAACCCTGGGCTCGCAGGCAGGTGAGAAGGATAGGGGCCCAATTTTGCCCTCACCCCCCGCCCCCTGGGCTTCTCCAGCGTCACTGCGGGTGCCCTGGAACAGCCAGCCCACCCCCAGAGCTCTCCAACGGGTTCACTCGCCTCACTGGGAGCAATTCCAATGAGAGAGACACCAGCAGACTGTGTGAGTCTGTTACAAACTCCCAATATTCGGTCTCCGCCCTCGCCTGCCCCTCACCTTCAAAGTCCCCTCCCCCCTCGCCCTTGGTAAAGAGCCCCACTGTTCCCAGATGGCCCCTTTGGAATAACACAGCGTGCTCACCCTGCCTCCAGCCAGCATGGACCACTGGGGAGACACACTTACAAGCTACCCATGATGTGTTTCCTCTGTTCTTTAGGGAAGTTAGTGTCTAACAAGACACAAAATAACTTTTTAGCAAATCAAAGCATTTCTCTGCTAAAGGAGTCAAAGGGTCGTCAAATGCATTTGGGAAGCCCTGTGACCAAGTGGACCAAGACCGAAAGGTCAATGTGTAAAACAACGTGACCGATTTGAGGGGTAAGGCTGCCGACACCAGCTGGACATAGAAAACGTACGACGTCGGCTGGGGGTTTTCAAAAGCCATTGGTGGCTCAGCCCAAGAGAACGTGTGTACCCCCAAACGCTGGGCAGGCAACCACAAAACACCAGTGTGCTTGCACAAAACAACCAAAGGTAAAAACAATTTTTGTCAGCCCGACTTGTCCACCTGAATTTTTTTTTTTTTTTTTTGCCGTTCCCAGCGTCCATGCTCTGCTTAGTGCAGAGGAGCTGCCCACCCTCTGAGAAAGCAGCCCTCACGCCAGCTCGTGTTTTTCTGGATGAGACTGAGCCTCCCGCGGGTCCCCAGCCAGGGCCCAGACCCAGGACCCAGGGCCAGGCCGGACTCACCGCGCAGCCCCGGGCCTGACGGATGCTCCCGGGCGCCATGTGCGGCTGTGAACTCTGTGCCCTGAGCCGGGCGCCCAGCTGTGGGGCAAGTGGGGGCTGAGAGCCCAGGGCTCACCCACGAGCCGCTTAGCGGGCCCTCGCTGTCCAGAGGAAGGGACAGCACTGTGCTCACACAGGACAGCCATCCACTTACCGAGCAGCCCACTGGGAAGCAGCCCCTCCCTCTGCCCAGAACTGTGCGCCTTTTTCTCACTAAGGGCCCGGGGCAGGGCAGCGCTGTGGTCGTCGTGTCTATAATGCTTATGCAGCCCTGGCCAGTTTGGCTCAGCGGTTGGAGCATCAGCCCGCGGATCAGAGAGTCCCAGGTTCGGTTCCCCCTAAGGGCACGTACCTCTGTTGCCATTTGCCCTTTGTCCCCGGGGCCCAGTTGGGGCTGTGTGGGTGGCAACCAGTCGATGTGTCTTTCTCGCATCAATGTTTCTCTCTCTCTCTCTTCCCCCCCTCTCTCCCTCCACGCTATCTAAATGCAAAAATGTCCTCAGGTGAGGATAAAAAAATAATAATAATAAATGTTTATGCTGAACAGCACCTGACACAACACTTAGTGCAACACTTTTCAGAGCAGATGAAGAATCTGAAAATCAAGGACTGAACAAAATATCCAGTGTCCAGCTGACTAGTAGCTGAACTGGGATCCCAGACACATGTGAACATGAACTTCAATTCAGCCAATGTATTAAACACGGGTCCATAAAATCCATGCCGTGCCCTCTGCCTTTTTTTCTTTTTTTCCCAAACCAAACGAGTTTTCTTCTATTTACAAGAATAAAATCAGAGGAAGGCACTGAATTTTTGTGTGTGTGCCTGGGGAAAGGAGGAGGGTAAAGGGGAGAGAAGAGGGGGAAGGAGATGGGGAAGGAGAGGGGGGAAGGAGAGAGGGAAGGAGAGGGGGAAGGAGAGGGGAAAGGAGAGGGGGAAGGAGAGGGGGAAGGAGAGGGGGGAAGGTGGAGGGGAAGGAGAGGGGGAAGGAGAGGGGGAAGGAGAGGGGGAAGGAGAGGGGGGAAGGAGAGGGGGAAGGAGAGGGGGAAGGAGAGGGGGAAGGAGAGGGGGGAAGGTGGAGGGGAAGGAGAGGGGGAAGGAGAGGGGGAAGGAGAGGGGGAAGGAGAGGGGGAAGGAGAGGGGGAAGGAGAGGGGGGAAGGAGAGGGGGAAGGAGAGGGGAAAGGAGAGGGGGAAGGAGAGGGGGAAGGAGAGGGGGAAGGAGAGGGGGAAGGAGAGGGGGGAAGGAGAGGGGGGAAGGAGAGGGGGGAAGGTGGAGGGGAAGGAGAGGGGGAAGGTGGAGGGGAAGGAGGGGGGGAAGGAGAGGGGGAAGGAGAGGGGGAAGGAGAGGGGGGAAGGAGAGGGGGGAAGGAGAGGGGGACAGGAGAGGGGGAAGGAGAGGGGGAAGGAGAGGGGGAAGGAGAGGGGGAAGGAGAGGGGGAAGGTGGAGGGGGAAGGTGGAGGTGAAGGAGAGGGGGAAGGAGAGGGGGGAAGTGGAGGGGAAGGAGTGGGGGGAGGAGAGGGGGGAAGGAGAGGGGGAAGGAGAGGGGGAAGGAGAGGGGGGAAGGAGAGGGGGAAGGAGAGGGGGAAGGAGAGGGGGGAAGGAGAGGGGGGAAGGAGAGGGGGAAGGAGAGGGGGAAGGAGAGGGGGAAGGAGAGGGGGGAAGGTGGAGGGGAAGGAGTGGGGGAAGGAGAGGGGGAAGGAGAGGGGGGAAGGAGAGGGGGAAAGGAGAGGGGGAAGGAGAGGGGGAAGGAGAGGGGGAAGGTGGAGGGGAAGGAGAGGGGGAAGGAGAGGGGGGAAGGAGAGGGGGAAGGAGAGGGGGGAAGGAGAGGGGGAAGGAGAGGGGGAAGGAGAGGGGGAAGGAGAGGGGGAAGGTGGAGGGGAAGGAGAGGGGGAAGGAGAGGGGGGAAGGAGAGGGGGAAGGAGAGGGGGGAAGGAGAGGGGGAAGGTGGAGGGGAAGGAGGGGGGAAGGAGAGGGGGGAAGGTGGAGGGGAAGGAGAGGGGGGAAGGAGAGGGGGAAGGAGAGGGGGAAGGAGAGGGGGGAAGGAGAGGGGGAAGGAGAGGGGGAAGGAGAGGGGGAAGGAGAGGGGGAAGGAGAGGGGGGAAGGTGGAGGGGAAGGAGAGGGGGAAGGAGAGGGGGAAGGTGGAGGGGAAAGGAGAGGGAGATGGAGAGGGAGAAGGAGAGGGGGAAGGAGAGGGGGGAAGGAGAGGGGGAAGGAGAGGGGGAAGGTGGAGGGGGAAGGAGAGGGAGATGGAGAGGGAGAAGGAGAGGGGGAAGGAGAGGGGGAAGGTGGAGGGGAAGGAGAGGGGGAAGGTGGAGGGGAAGGAGAGGGGGGAAGGAGAGGGGGAAGGAGAGGGGGGAAGGAGAGGGGGAAGGAGAGGGGGGAAGGTGGAGGGGAAGGAGAGGGGGAAGGAGAGGGGGAAGGTGGAGGGGAAGGAGAGGGGGGAAGGAGAGGGGGAAGGAGAGGGGGAAGGAGAGGGAGATGGAGAGGGAGAAGGAGAGGGGGAAGGAGAGGGGGGAAGGAGAGGGGGAAGGAGAGGGGGGAAGGTGGAGGGGAAGGAGAGGGGGGAAGGTGGAGGGGAAGGAGAGGGGGAAGGAGAGGGGGAAGGTGGAGGGGAAGGAGAGGGGGGAAGGAGAGGGGGAAGGAGAGGGGGAAGGAGAGGGGGGAAGGTGGAGGGGAAGGAGAGGGGGAAGGTGGAGGGGAAGGAGAGGGGGAAGGTGGAGGGGAAGGAGAGGGGGGAAGGAGAGGGGGAAGGAGAGGGGGGAAGGAGAGGGGGAAGGAGAGGGGGGAAGGAGAGGGGGAAGGAGAGGGGGAAGGAGAGGGAGATGGAGAGGGAGAAGGAGAGGGGGAAGGAGAGGGGGGAAGGTGGAGGGGAAGGAGAGGGGGAAGGTGGAGGGGAAGGAGAGGGGGGAAGGAGAGGGGGAAGGAGAGGGGGGAAGGTGGAGGGGAAGGAGAGGGGGAAGGTGGAGGGGAAGGAGAGGGGGGAAGGAGAGGGGGAAGGAGAGGGGGGAAGGAGAGGGGGAAGGAGAGGGGGGAAGGTGGAGGGGAAGGAGAGGGGGAAGGAGAGGGGGGAAGGAGAGGGGGAAGGAGAGGGGGAAGGTGGAGGGGAAGGAGAGGGGGAAGGAGAGGGGGGAGGAGAGGGGGGAAGGTGGAGGGAAAGGAGAGGGGAAAGGTGGAGGGGAAGGAGAGGGGGAAAGGCACCTTGAGAACCCTGAATTTTTGTTTTATTTTATTATAATTTTTCTTAAAGTCACCTTGGAATCCAGAATCCATTTCAGCACTGTCAGGTCTAATACGTCCTGACATGACAAAACTGAGTGCAGAAATTGTTTTCAAACACTGGGGACAATGAATCCATCACTGTCACGATGTCAAGCGTGGTTCAGTGTCAGAGGTTCTCCTTCCAGGGAAGGGCCCGAGTCTCCTGAGTTGCCGCATTCCAGTAGCTGCTACATTTTAATGCATTTAGCACAGACATTGATCACGTACCTTCACTACGGAGGTGATGTTACAGTGGATGACGCTCTGTAATAAATAATCATAACCACAAATCAGCTGGATCTTTCAAGAAATTCTCTTGAGATGTAGTCAGTGCTAAAGAACCGTCACATGGGCGAAAGCATGTGTCTGAGCTGTTCCCTTACTCACTAAGCTGGCCAATTAGGCTCCTAACTGAAGTTCAGCAAGTAGGCACTAGGACTGGGAAACATCTGACATCCGTACTGGGATTCTATAAGGTGTGATCTTGAACAGACGTCAATTAAGAGTTTCTTTGCCCTGGCCGGTGAGGCTCAGTTGGTTGGAGCATTGTCCCATGCACCAAAGGGTCAAGGGTTCAATTCCCAGTCAGGGCACATACAAAGGTTCAATCACTGATCAGGGTGTGTGGGGGAGGTAATTAATCAACTGCTCTCTCTCCCTCCTTCTCGTTCTCCTTTCCTCTCTCTCTAAAAATCAAATTTTAAATAAAAGGAGTTTAGCCCTGGCTGGTTTGGCTCAGCAGTTAGAGCATCGACCTGCGGTCCAGAGAGACCCGGGTTCGGTTCCCGCTAAGGGCATGTACTTCGGTTGCAGTTTGTCCCCGGCCCTGGTTGGGTCGTGCGGGTGGCAGCCACTCGATGTGCCCCTTTCACATCGATGTTTCTCTCTCTCCCTCCCTCCCACTCCATCTGAACAAAAATTGAAAAATGTCCTCGGGTGAGGATAAAAATGGAGTTTAAGGGAGATGGTTAAGTTCCAGCTGGAGGAAGGGAGGTCAGTGTACGTGGGTCTAAAGACAACAGGCTGGAGAACAGAAGGCGAATGACTGGATAGTACAAACTGAGGTTCTGGGTTTCCGAGGCCAGATAAAGAAACTACTAGAATCATCCAGGACAGACAGAGAGGGAAAGAGGGACAGACACAGACAGAAACAAGCACAAATACAGACATAAACAGAGAAAGAAAAGTAAGAATGGAATCTGCTTAGTGGAGAGACACAAGTCTATGCCAGAGACGAGGACCACGGGGCTCGATGTACCGCCAAGAAGGGGGTTGGCAAAGACGTGCAGCGATGTCCAAGCCATCCGGCGTCCTCCCCCGCGCGGGAGGCTCGAGGCTGACACTGGGCCACAGGAATACCTGCAGAGCAGACAGCCTGTCCGTATTGGGACGACCCCATGACTCCAAGGCCAGGGCCTGGGGGACACTGAGCAACGCACACCTTCCAGGACTGCTACCTGCACAACCCGTGTGCTCCTGACCAACAGCGGAAGCCAAGGGTCTGAGCCACACTCGCTGAACCTACAGTCCCCCAGCCACGCAGTTCGCATCACTGACTTCCCTCACACAGAAAGTTGAACAAATTTTATTACCTAAGAAGACAAAGAAAACCCCAGAGCTGGCCTTCTCCCACTTGCATACACAGCTGTCAGTGTTGCAGGCAGAGCACAGAGCCCCCAAAGGACCGGGACAGGAGGCAGGTAAGTTTCCATGCTTGGGAAAGGGGGGAAGATGACCTCATCCTACAGGTGCCCATGGACAGTGTAACCCTTGAGTGTGTAGCAAACACTGAGATAAGAAGAAAGGGAACCTCCCGACACTCAGGTGGAACACAGAATCTGTCCAGACACCCTCCCCAGGCCTGGCGATGGCCCGGTGAGAGGACGTCACCCACAGAAAGCGCAGACGTACCTGGATGACATGTGGCGTATCAAGGAAATGGCTCGGGAGAAGGCTTGGAAGCATTCCAACATTGTTGACTGACGGGGAGAGACAAAACGAAAGGATGTCACCAGAGCCAGCGGCAAGCGTTTATTGAAAACCTTAAAAATAGTCATATTCAACCCAGAAATTCTTCTCTTGGAAAGTGTATTTAAGAAAAGACATGCAAAACCATTGACAGACGCGGCTGCTCACTGTGCCGATTTGCTAACACTGGAGGAGCCGGCACTGGCAGGACGCACAGGAGGCGAACCTCGGTGCAGCTCTATGCGGGAAGCACAAAGTCACTCACAAGCACCGCTGCTTAGCCTGAGACGTGGGGCAGCGGGTGTGATGACTGGCTTCTTAAAATGCTGCAGATAGGTGGGTGTAATCCCGGATTTGAAAATATGTGCAAATAGGTAAAATACATGTCAATGTATGAAACTGCATCTGGAAGGCTATGCACCAAAATGCTTTCTCAGGTAAGTTCATGATTCTTTCATGTGCTTCTCTATTCTTTCCAGTTTTTCTGCACTGATATGTTTTACATTTTTATTTGTAAAAAGAATTAGGAACGAATTCTTTTTTAAATTCAGCAGGAAGTTTAGAAATCAAATCTTCCTTCTATACACAATACAAACACTGTACTGTGTACGTAGTTATGAAATAGCTTGTTTATAAATCATCACAGAAAAAAATATTATCTTGTTTTCTGAATGAGGTAGTCAGTTCTCAAACAAGCACACCAACCTGCCATTTCACAGGCCAATCACAGCAACACGTGTTTGCTAAGTGAGTTCCTTTAAGCCAATGTTTCTGAGATTCCCTCTTCCTGCCAAGTGTCAATATCCATCAGTGAGCCCTGGCCGGTTTAGCTCAGCAGTTAGAGTGTCGGCCCGAGGACCAGTGAGTCACAGGTTCAATTCCAGTCAGGGGCATGTACCTCTGTTGTGGTTTGGTCCCTGGCCCTGGTTGGGGTCGTGCGGGAGGCAGCCTACTCAATATGTCCCTTTCACATCAATGTCTCTCTCTCTCTCTCTCTCTCTCTCTCTCTCTCCCCCCCCTCACACACACACACACACACACACACACACACACTATCTGAACAAAAATGGAAAAATGTCCTCAAGTGAGGAAAACAAAAACAAATATATATATATATATATATCTCCATCAGTGAAAGAAAATTCATTTTAACATTAGGAAGTATGGTCAGGAAGGTTGAAATATGTAAGTCTGACACATTCTCTAGCTATATATAAATCTGTTAATCCAGCAATGTCTCTTGAAAGGACTGAGCTTTAATATTCATTTAATGCTACAGCTTAAAATACAGTTATAGTCAAGTGTCACTAAGATCATTACTTCATGGATGTATTACAACAGCTTTGAATTTTACAATTTACTTACCTAAAATTCCAATTTCTAAGCCTTTAAGTTTTTCCTCAATATACCCATAGATGTCGTCCTTGGTAAAATCTGCTTGTATAATTCTCACACTGCTCCCTGTGGTCGACTCTGCATTAGAGACAATCATTATTGTGCAACGAACAGCAGACCAAATCCCCCTCTCCGTGGAGTTTCCCCGGCACCCCACGCAGCCTGAGCATGGGCCCATCACCCCATTACAAACAGGAAATAGCCCGGGATCAATGCTGGGATGAGCTAAAAGATTTGTGAATGGTGACTTCTGTGTGCGTCCCAGAGTTACTACGGTAACAAGTATATACATTATAACAAATCTGATGCAGTGATTCCCAAAGTGGGGTCCACAGGCCACAGCATCAGCATCACCAGCAACTTGTTAGGGACACAAAATCTCAGGCTGCACCGCACACCCACGGAACCAGGAGACCCTGGGAGCGAGCCCCGCGGTCTGTTTGCACACGAGGTCCAGCTGACTGCTGCATGCTCAAGGTGGAGACCCCTGGACTAAGGGTGTAAGAGCAGAGTGTGATGCTGCCTGTGCCGTCAGGTCCCCTCTGCACAGAAGAAGTAACCTTCTGCATCTGTCCAACACTTAGTATTCATGAAGCATTGGCCCACATAATATCTTATTTTAATCCTCTCTACGACCTTGCAGAGTAGGTATGATCCTCATCGTCCAGGGGAGAAAGCGGCTCAGAGACGCTAAGGGCCTTGGCAAGGCTCCTCCCCCTCTCCCAGGAGCCCTGGGGCAGATACCGAAGCTGCACAGATGCGCCAGCTGCTGCCAGCTCGGCGCTGGGGTCAGACCCGGTATTTCTGGGGCAAGTGATTGTGAGGCCTTGTTTCCGGGGGGGGGGGGGGGACGGGACACTTTCAGACCAAAGACACTACTTGCTTTTCAGGAGGACGGTACAAAGCACAGTTTAACATTCATTGTGAGAGGAACACTGAAGAATGTCCTAATCCTGGTCAAAGTTACTTCTGATATCCAGACACAGAACAGAAGCAGAATTCATGGGTCCAAGGGCACTGAGCCTCTGTGGGGGCTTGCTCGGCCCCGTGCCTCCCACATGGGGCTCCTAACCCTGCCCGCCCAGGGACACGGCCCTGTCCCCCTGCCATGGTCTTCATGAGTCTTCATAATTCAAGGCTCATTCCTTTGAGTTAAGGAGTTTATTCATCACTAAGTTAACAATTAATCATTAAAATGCAAATACCCTAAAAGGGATACTATGCTCATTATTAACTAAGGACACTTCAGAGAGGGCCGTGGTAATAACACGGTGATATCAACACCGCCTCCCAGACTGTGCGGTGGACCCTCTTTACAACACAGCAGCCCTGGGCCAAACCTTTCTTAGAAATCGGACAACCGCCACTAAGCACCTCCCTCACCCCTGCAAGGAGCAGAGCATAGACATAGGGACGTGCAGTCCCAAGCACGATGCTGCTTTCGAAGGGCGTGGCAGAAGCACCAGGGGGCTGGGGCCTCTGGTGAGGGGGTCTGATGCTAGATGAAGACACCAGACCAAAGAAGAGACGAGAGCGGCTTGTGCGTGAGTCTGGTCCTCCGAGCCCAGAGACTCACTGCTGAACGGAAGCCCCCACTCAACAGCCTGCACTTAACTTCGTACACTGAGCTCTGGCAGGAGGACCAGCACCCCAGGCTCCAGAGAACAGATATAGGGGTGCTGATGGTGCTTCTGCAAGCAGGACCCGAGCAGACCGGGCTGGTGGGCTCCACAGACATCTCCCTCGTTCCTTGGGGTCACTCACCAATCTCCATGGCAACAGCCTGTAGTTTTTCCAATGTCCGGCTGATCAGCACAACATTGAGTCCTTGTCTTGCTAGCTGGGATGGGAAAACGAAAAAAGACAAAGACCATCAGGAAGGCTTGATTAAAGGGTGAAAAGCACATCATCCACTCGGTTGCAACGGGAGGTACTTGTTTCTCCTGGGTTTATTTATTATTTTTTATTTTTTTTATCCTCACCCGAGGACATTTTCCCATTTTTTTGTTTAGACAGAGTGGGAGGGAGAGAGAGAGAGAGAAACATCCATGTGAGAGAGACACATCGAGTGGCTGCCTGCCACACAACCCCAACCAGGGCCGGGGATGAATCGCAGTGAGGTACCTGCCCTTGACTGGAATTGAACCCCCAACTCATTGGTCCTTGGGCCGAGGCTCTAACCGCTGAACCAAACCGGCCAGGGCACTTCTCCTGGATTTAAATGTGCAGAACGTGGCAAAGGTTTCTGGGTCATGAGTGAAACAGCCACACTGGGCCAGGCTGACGGTGACATCATCGTCGGAGCTCCGGTGTGTGTTTATGAAGAGCCAGGAGCCGGTCCACACCTCCTTGTGTACAGACCCACAGTCTGCACCCCTCTCATCCCAACCCCCGGGCTCCATGTGTGCTGGAAATCGGAATCGGGAAGACGTTAGATTATCATTTATGTCGCAGACTCCAAGGCAGCACCCCTTGATTTAAAAAACCTACTTCTGCAGCAATTTTGAGCTGCTTCCTACTCCCAAGGACGTTCTTCCTGTGGTTCGCTTTCCACAGACCTGCTCCCGGCCAAGGCCTTTCTCCCTGCGCTGGCTCCCGGCAGGACGGAACTGGGACCCAAGGCGGTCTCCTCGGAGGGGACACTGCCCCGGCTCACGGCGCTGAGGGCCGCAGGACGAGGGGCGTGCCTGGCACCGGCCTCCCGCCTGGGAAGGCTGCCCCTGAGGAAAACAGCTTCCCTGGGGACGCAGGAAGACCCGTGTCCGTGCAAACAGCCTGACGACATGAGAGTCGTGACACAGGACCCAGGTCATTAAGATCTCTCTCTATGGTTTTAATTAAATGATTTATATTGGGGGTTTTTTTAGCTGTGGTAAAACACACAGGACGGAGAGTTGTCCATGTTCACGAAGAGATGGACTGTTTCATGACTGGTACCGAGCCTTGGGCAGGGCCCGTGCTGACCTGCTGTGGTTCGGGTTCAGGGCGAGCACTGTGCCGGTGTTTCATGCGGAGTTATTACAGGAAAGACACAGAAGCTGAGCTGAAGACTATCATACAGGGTCTGCGGTAACCATGAGCTCGATCTTCGAGCCAGCGGTCTCAGAATCACCCAGGAGGATGTCAAAAACACCAATTCCCACCAAAACCATCCATAACGATCTCTGGGCCGACGCCTCAGCATTTACATATTTGTCTAACTTAATGTAGTACATGTCACTATGAAATGCACAGGTGCGGTCTCGCTGTGGAAGGCGCCCTGATGCCACCACAGTCCCGTTCCCTCGCCCACCTCCTGCGTGGCGATGACCCTTCCGCACTTTTCTCGGCATCTACACACACATGGAAGTACCCGCGGTAGTAGATGTTCGTTTGTGTTTCTTTCTTTTCAGGCTTGACCAATGGCACTGTAAGCACTGCCTTTTTAGCTCAATATTGAGTCTTGTCTCTGAGCATGGTACCTATTTCCACACCATCCATGCTGAGTGGCTCGATTCTTTTTGTTGCTTTCGGGTCTTTACAGCTCACTGTGGGTGAGCATTTAAGTTGTCGAGTTCTCTCATTACCAGTACTGCTACGATGAACCTTTCTAGAGAGCTCTTTGTATATACAGGTGAATTAATTCCTAGGGTAGAAACACACAAAGTGGAATTGTTGTGTCAAAGGGTATATGCTTTTTAAGTTTTAACTGTATTATCCAAATGTCCTCCCTTCAAACTGTACCATCAAAAATACAATTATAGATACTTCTTCATTCTCTGGCCAATATTTTATATTAACAAACTTTTCAACTTCTTCTAACCTAATGGTCAAGAAATGATATCCCTTGCCCAGCTGGTGTGCCTCAGTGGATTGAGCATCGTCCCATGGACTGAGAGGTCCCGGTTCGATTCCCAGTAGGGCACATGCCTGGGTTTCAGCTTTGATCCCCAGATGGGGGGGGGGGGAACGTGCAGGAGGCAGCTGATCAATGTTTCTCTCTCACATTGATGTTTCTATCCCTCTCTCCCTTCCTCTCTCTATAAAAAATTCAATTAAAACATATTTTTTAAAAGAAATTATATCCTGCCCTGGCCGGTTTGGCTCAGCGGTTGGAGTGTCAGCCTGCGGACCAGAGAGTCCCGGATTCAATTCCCACTAGGGGCACGTACCAAAACAGAAAAAAAGGAAAAGAAAAAAAAAGAAATGATATCCCTTGATTGTTTTCATTTGCATTTCTTTAATTAACAGTGGGGCTGAGTATCTTTTTGTATGTTTATGTGTGAAATATCAGTGTCTACCTTTTGCCCATTCTTCTGCTGGGTTATTTGTCATTTTCCTATAAGTTTGTAGGAGTTTTTTGTGTTCTGGGTATTAATTATTTGCCTATCATGTATGTAGCAAGTGTTTCCTCCTTTGTTTATGGTGTCCTGGCATACATGATAAATTAATTTTAATGTTATCTAGTTTGTGAATATCTTCCTTAGAATTAAAAAAAAAATTATTACAATTTTCCCTAACTACAGGGATATAAATACATTTTCCTACAACCCTTAGTAGTTTGTTTTGTGATTGTTTATTTTTGAAAATAGTGTGAGGTTGAAATCATCTAGCATTATTCTTTTTCAAAATGGGTGGTTAAATGTCTCAACATTTTCTACTTCTCCATTCTTTCCTGATTTGCATGACTTAGTCATATGCAACATTTTCATAGGTACATGTGTCTGTTTCTGGTCTACCTGTACTGTTCATTGACCTATTCATTCATTTATACGACACAGCCACCTTCAACTTAATCATAATCTTAGAGGAAGCTGTGCTGTCTGATGTCTGATAGAGAGTCCTGACCATTTATTATTCTTTCAAAACATTTTTTGCTGGGGAGAGGGCGGGGCGGGGGGGATTAGTGGAGGGAAAAGAAGAAACATCTGTAACAAAAATAAATTAAGTAATTAAATAAAAATAAGTTAATAAAAAAATTTTTTTTTGTTTTACCCAGATAAAATTGTATTTTTTTAAGTATCATATTAAAATTGGAGACATTTTGGGGAAGTTACATCTTGGTGGTAATCAGTTGTCTCATCCATTTAGGGGTATAGCAATCCATATATGCTATTCATCCATTTATTCAAATTTCAGACATTCTTCTAAACACTTTTAAAGTTTCTTTATGTAATCTTCAACATTTCTTGTTAATTTGCATTTGTTAGGATAATGTTAGCTGCTGTAACACTTCAAATTTTGGTGGCTTAACATAATGAAGTTTTTTGTTGTTGTTGTTGTTGTTGTTGTTGTTGTTTTTTGTCTTATATAATAGACTCTATTCCAAATAATCATTCAAGGCCCCCAGCTAAGAAAGACTTTACCACCTGCAGTACCAGGCTTCTAAGATTGCCCTAGGCATCAACGGCTAGCCAGTGCAAAGACTACAAGAGGGCGAGAAGATGCTCTGCCTTACCCACCTTGACCAAGAAGTGACACACATCATTTCTGCTTGATTTGATTGGCTCAAGTAGTCAAATGGCCCCACCCAGATGTAAGGGAGTCTAGGAAATTTCCTGGCTGGGCAGCCACTTATCAGCTGAAACCCAATCCCAATGGAAGAAAGACAGGGATCTGGGGTGACATGTAGCTGTTCTTGCCACCAATATCTTAAGTTTATTTGTTGCCATTGTGAATTACATTATTATGGAAAGAAGAAGAAACTCTAGGATTAAATAGCTAAGTTCAATTCCTGTTTACACCACTTGTACCTGTGTGCACAGGTTACTCAATTTGGGCCTGTGGTTTCCTCACTGGCAAGACAAGGACACCAGCAGACCTCCTTTCTAGACTTGTTCTGAGATCAAATTACAAATTACATTAAAAAGTGCATGGCCCCAAGCCCTGTCCAGTTTGGCTCAGCGGTTAGAGTGTTGGCCCACAGACCAGAAAAACCCATGTTCAGTTCCCGCTAAGGGCACGTACCTTGGTTGCAGTTTGTCTCCGGCCCTGGTTGGTGTCATGTGGGTGGCAGCCAGTTGATGTGTCTCTCTCAAATTGATGTTTCTCTCCCCCCGCCCCTCCTGCTCTATCTGAAGATAAATGCAAAAATGTCCTCGGGTGAGGATAAAAATAAATAAATAACTCCTTTTTTAAACCTCTGGATTCCGTTTGCTGATATTTAAGTTGGACCCCAATACTCTTGTGCTTTGTCCCATTTTGGTATCATTCACATTCATTTCTCTACACAATTCATAAACCATGTAGTACAGCCAACTTCCCTCATTTCCAGGATTTCCCTCATTTCACAACTGAACGGCCCACATCCCGGGAACTTCAGTCATCCTAGAATGTTTTACCTATTCTTTGATGAGTTGGTAATATTTATTTGCAAAAAATGTTTAGGTGTTTTATTTAAGTACAGCCTTTTCCGTTTCTTCTATGAGTATTAATCTCTTGCTGTGTGATCATTTACATTTCCATGGGAAGAAAACCATCTCTTTCTTTTAGATTTTCAATTTATTGACACAAAGATTGAAATAGTATTTCCTTTCTTTTTATTCCTCCTCTCCTTTTTTTATTTTTATTTTTTTATCCTCACCTGAGAACATTTTTCTATTTTTTGTTCAGGTAGAGTGGGAGGGAGAGAGAGGAAGAGAGAGAGAAACATCGACGTGAAAGGGACACATCGAGTGGCTGCCACCCGCACGACCAACCAGGGCCGGGGACAAACTGCAACGAGGTACATGCCCTTAGCGGGAACCAAACCCGGGTCTCTCGGGACCGCAGGCCGACGCTCTAACCGCTGAGCCAAACCGGCCAGGGCTATTTTTAGATCTTGTCTTTAGCTAAGTTCCTAATAGTGTTCCTCCTCTTTCT